ATTTATTCTTTGCCAACTCTTTAATTCTCCACACTGCTTCTGAAAAGAAGGCCAAAAATGCCTTTTTGATCAATATATAATCATCTGGGACTTTTGAGAACTCTTGTTGTGGCTTCACCGGTCCTGTTGCTTGACCACTACCACTTGCTCCCTCAATCCTTCTCACTGCTTCTGCATATGAAACCTTGTTCTCATCTCTTACTTTCTGCACTAACGTAGCCTTTTCATGAGAGGGACACCCTTTAAATGCAGCCACATGGTTTCCCTCACAATTACAGCATTTAGTCTGACTTTTACACTCTTTAATGTCATGATCTTCACTACAATTTCCACATCTGCGTTTACCTCTACATATTGCTGCTATATGCCCAAACCTCTGACACTTATAACATCTCAGAGGAGGTCTTTCATACTTCCTGACTCTGAAACACAGATAGCCTAGCATAACTTTCTCTGGCATTTCTTTTTCCATGAACGTCAACAATACCGCAGAGCTTTCCCTACCTTCTCCTCTTTGATTCTTTCCCATGCGGGTAGCTTTAACCACCTTCCCTCCTTTCAGATTGGTTTTTAATTCTTCCTCTGAAATTTCGTAAGACACATTATAGATAACTCCTTTTGCACCATTAGATCCAGGGATGAAACCCTCTACACTCTTACCGCTCAAATGCTTCACTTTACAGGCTTTAGCTTGCTGTTCAGCTGTTTTACACATTATCATTAACATACCATTCGCTAGAGTCTTAGCTTGCCTGACATCTCCAAACTCACGTTTTATAGCACTTGAGATCTTCAGTGGACTAATCGTTCCAAAACCCCCACTATCATCCCTCACTTTAAACTCTTCCTCATTTTGCTGGTAATCCACTTTTCTACTCTTAACGTTTCTATCCATATCACTGTCAATTTCTTGATTTATTTTACGATTTCTCTTCCCCTTGCTACTCTTTATCTGTTCCCATTCCCCTTCGTCCTTCCCACTCCCCCCACTCCCACTCCCACCTGACATGGGCTGGCGTCTGAGTTGACAAACAATCCGATTTAGTTTATCTTCTCTGCCCACCTCAATAGAAACTTCCTTTTCCACACCAGCTCCAGGTAATAATCCTAGTGCAGTCAGCTCAAGAATACACACCCAACCGTGTGTGTGAGGTCCAGACACAAGACTACACACGAAGGGAACTTAAAAGGAGGGAGAATTAAGGAATTAACAAGCCACAGGTGAGACAGCAGCTGAAGTAGTTAATAAGATAACGATGGGGAGGGAAACCACGAAGACAATGAGCACATGGTGAACTGTCAAAACAGACAAAACAACAACAACCTGCTGATCAGACCGAAGTCATGACAAATACAAATAAAACTGTAATACTAAACTGTATAGCCACTAGATGTCTGCATAGCCTTTTATATAAATATACGGGCTATAATATCTAGATGGTGAAACAAGACACGATTTTTAATAGTTCAAATTGTTTTTACTATAGTTTTTATTAGTTGTAATTTTAAAGTCATACTTAAAGGGGTCATATGATGCTGTTAAAAAGAACATTATTGTGTGTATTTGGTGTAATGAAATGTGTTTATGAGGTTTAAGGTTCAAAAAACACATTATTTTCCACATACTGTACATTATTGTTTCTCCTCTATGCCCCGCCTTTCTGAAACGCATCGATTTTTCCAAAGCTCATCGTTCTGAAAAGCGAGGTGTGCTGTGATTGGCCAGCTATCCAGTGCGTTGTGATTGGTCGAATATCTCAAGCGTGTGACGGAAATGTTAACTGTTTTGAACGAGCGCACCTTTTTTAACAACCAAAAAGTTTAGTTGTCTGTTGCGGAAGTACAGACGTTCCTCTCGTTGATAGCAGAGGAGCGGAGAGCTTGATGGGGCGACGCGGAATGAAGAAGTTTTTTTAGGAGTCGTGGTAGTAGAGGCGGCGCAACTATAATGACGTGAATAATCCCGCCCACTCTAAAGCGGTACTGAACTGCGGTGGAGACGCGAACCGTGCTGAGCCGTACCGAGCCGAGTCATACCACGCAGTGGAAAAGCACCATAAGTGGAATAGGGACCGGCCACAGCAGAGTTAATGAGACATGCTGTGAGTAACCCAATCTGGCCCAGCTCTTTGCCAAACAAGCAGTTACACTCGGCCCACATGCAGCAAAGAATTACGGCCCTTGTGTGGCCCAGATCTGGACTACAGACATGAGCCATAACTGGCCTAAATCTCAGCCAAATAGTAACTTATAACCAGCCCTGAACTGGGCCAGAACAAGTTTTAATAGTGCTACCCAATCTCCAGTCTTTAACCTGAAACCCCAAAACTGAGCCATAAAAAAGCCACAAAACAACTCCATCAATAGGCAGTAAAACACACAGCTACACCTTTAGACAATTAAGTGTCTGTAATCCACACATCTTTAGATTGAGAGGGAAAGACTTTCTGGCTCAGCTGGGACTCGAACCAGAGATCTTCTTGTTGTGAGAGACAGCATTTCCCACTGAGCCACTTATGCTGCGCTTAGACACAGATATTAAATACAGACACTTGTGCAATAATAATACATTCAAAATTGCTCAACTTTTTTCATGACTGAATGTATATATATATATATAAAAAAAAAATCACCAAGCACATGTCCTCATATCCAGTCTGCTCTCCCACTGAGAGACAGTGTCCCCTGCAACAAGAATGCTGCACTTTCTGAAGGAATTCTCAAAATACAAAGACATCTGAGAAAGGTTCTACAAAATTAAAAGCATAGACCACACACATAATTCTATTTTACACACACACACACACACACACACATGTTTACTTATCTAAATGGGACATTCCATAGACATTCCAAGTGTGTGATGTTTATGCATTTTCTCTGTTAAAGGAAAGGTAACAGTTGATGTTTGTATCTCAGTTGATGTACCTCAAATCCAGAGGTTACAGGAGGAAGGCATGTTTACTGTATGTGTTTTAATGTTTATTTTGATAATCAATTTTAATTGCAACCTCAATGATTAAGTGGACACAAATTAATTTAAATCTGACCCTATACTCATGAAAACAAGGGAAGTTACTCTTGAAGATGGTAATTATTAGTTTTTTGATAGTACAAAGTCACTGACGGTAGATTGAAGTTGAAATTATAGTATGATTTTATGTTATTCCACACAACAAACAGAAAATGTGTACAACAAACTATCATATCCCTTGTTTATCCATGAGGATGTTATTGCGTAACATTCTGTCAGTCAGTAGCTGTGGGACTAGCCCTTTACTGGCAGGATAGTGGCTTCATATGTGCTCAGATAGAGTTACATCATGAATAATTCACACTCACACTGAGATCAGACTCAGTAAGGCTCATTTCAACCTTACACAAGTCACAAAATGGACATAGCTGTCTTGCCAAACAACAATCATCCAGAGAAATTCCTGCAGCTGGATGTGGGAATGTTGCCGGCTACACATGGAATGTTCCAGATTGGTGCTGTGTTGTCTGGACAAAGACAGTGGCAGAACAAGATGTACTCACAGGTAAACTCTGTTATTACAGACTCGAGCTGCTGCGGAAACCCTCAGAATAAAGGCGGATGAGAGAGTGTGTTCCTAGACAGACATCTTCCCTGATGAACACCTCTTCATGCAACTTCTGTTTGTGGAAAAACTTCTCCTTGATCACAAGAGAAAATGGTTTAAAGCTATGTATTGGAGCAGAATTTATAGTCTTTAGGATTCAAGTTGTGTATTCAGCAATTTGACAAAAGGTGAAGTTATATATTTTTAAATATATTTTCCCCCCCCACACCTTTTTAAATTTGTCAAGGAGTACCTTGATTAATACTTAAAAAGTTGACGTAGTTCTTTTGATTTTAGTCTTCAGTTCGGTTGATGTCAGGGCTGTGAAATGATCTAATATTCTACATACAGTATTCTTAACAGTTATAATGATGAAGTTCAAATCTGTCAGTCAAAATCTGTCATCATTATCATCATGGCACATACATGCAACCCAGTCTCATCACCCAACTGGAAAAACATGTTTTTTACAATTCAAAGTAGGTGGTCACCTGAGGGCAAGGGTGTCCAATCCAGCAACTGGAGGGACTCTGTCTTGCAGATTATAACTCCAACCCAATTAAACACACCTAAAGCAGCAAATCATAATCCACTGAATGAGTTAATGACAAAGAGTGAGTGCACCGGGTGCATCTTCCGGCAAGATGTGGGAATTCATTTGGTGCAAAGCTCACAGAATATGGGCTAACTCGATGTAGGGGTGGGAGAAAAACTAAAACAATTTTCTGATGCAACTCTCGTTGCAAATTTTCTCTCGTCACTGATTCTGAATCGATTCTGGGCTTCAGTTTTTTCCCTGCATGTGTACATTGACACTTGTGTGTGCTAGATATGGCCATATTCTGCTTGCTGCATATTTTGCTGTGAATAACTCTGTGAATGGTTAAATGCACTTGCATCTCAAATGCTTTTGTAATGCGAAATAAATGTAAACGCAGTCATTTATGTCTTAAGGACAGAACAAAACATCTGATATTTTAAAATAGAGCTGTGCATTAGTGTGAATGCAGTCTGTTAGACCTGCCACTGTCTCTGACAGGAGTGTCAAATTCAGTCCCTGGAGGGCCCGTGTCCTGAAGAGCTCAGCTCCAACCCTAATTAAACACACCTGAAGCAGCTAATCAAGCTCTTCAGGATCATTAGCAGCTTCTAGGAAGGTGTTTTAGAGCTGCACTCTGCAGGACAGTGGCACTCCAGGGGTGTATTCCAGAAAGTGGGTTTTGTTGGAAACTCAGAGTAGTAACTAAACCTCGCGGTAAGTTATCATAGTGACTTACTCTGTGAACCTAATCTGGTCTGGAGCAGGTTTTCTTCGGTAAACCCAGAGTTTATTTCGGTCTCCTCCCCCTTTTTAAAGAGTAAGCAATGTTTGAAGGGGTCATATGATGCGATTTTAAGTTTTCCTTTCTCTTTGGAGTGTTACAAGCTGTTCATGCATAAAGAAGATCCCTAAAGTTGCAAAGACTAAAGTCTCAAACACAAAGAGATATTCTTCATAAAAGTTAAGAGTCAGCCACGCCCCCCTAAAACGGCTCGTTCTAACACGCCCCCACATGTCTACATCACTATGTGGGAAGATTTGTCGGCCAATCACAACGCACTGGATAGCTGGCCAATCACAGCATACCTCGCTTTTCAGACCGATGAGCTTTGTAAAAATCGACGTGTTTCAGAAAGGCGGGGCATAGAGGAGAAACAATAATGTACAGTATGTGGAAAATAATGTGTTTTTTGAACCTTAAACCGCATAAACACATTTCATTACACCAAATACACAAAATAATGTTCTTTTTAGCAATTACATAATGTATTCAGTCAATTCATATGATTGCTTTAAATACCACATTCATTGATTAACGCTGCAAAAATTGCTTTTATTGCTGAGATTTTTGCCTTATTTCAAGCACTTAAATCATGATGCATTTTCTATATAAGAAAAAATATATACGATATTTAGTCTTGTTTCCTGGGGTAAACAAGTTAAATTAATTGCCAGCGGGGTAAGAAAAATAATCTTAATGAAAATGGAAAGAACTTTCATTTTCATCATGCAGACACTTTATATGTGACAAAAATGGCATGTCTTTTTATAAGGGATCCTGTAGATGAGGAGGCTGCATTAATACGCGGGGAGTTACATTTACATCAGGAGAGGATTTAATTTAATTTGATTTAATTGATTTATTTTGCCATATCCACATGCATATTTATTTGAACGGTACCATTTTTAAATGGCGTTCACTTGATAACATCTTGTTGCGACCTCTAAGTAACCTAATAATTAGAATTTCCTTTCCAGTGTGGTTGGATGCATTGATTACACACACATTCTCACCATCACACCTTCCAAAAATGAAGCTGATTACTGTATTGAATGGAAGGATGCCAGATGGAAGGGTAGTGCAAGATATATGCCGTAACCACCACCACAGCTGTTAAACACAAATTATTCACAGTTTATTTGGTCATCTTTATGTTCTACAAATACAAAAGCAACAAATTATTCTTTTCCCTGTTGTATTTTAATATTTGTATATTGGCCATCTCCTCTTCATCTCTCAGCGGTGCTGGTGCAGGTTCTCCTCACATTTTACGAGTCACTGCCTTCTTGCTGTTGGCTTCTGAATAGAAGTCAAATGTTTTTCATTACCCTAATCAAGAAATGTAGCATGTTGGATTAGAGATCATTTATTTATGTGAAAAAACATTAGACTATGTGGAAAAAGCTGCTGCACATTTGAAATATATATACACTGAATGATATTTATTGAATGTCAAATATTTGTAAAGTCATGTAATGTTAGCCTACACCCGATTGAATTATGTTTTTGTTTATTTTTTTTATTTTATTTTTTATTTTGCCTGTGGGATACCATGAAAATGAATATTAGTTCAATAAATTACCATTCTGACAGTTTTCACCTGATAACACTGATTTAGAATTAAAGTTACATATTCCGTAGTTTGCGGAAGTCTCTTTGGCGGGAGCTGTTGCCATGGTGAATCGTAATTTCGGAGCTCCATTGATCATGGCTTTTCATAGTCGTGGTGCACACGCTAAACTCAGAGTCAACCTACTCTGAGTGGATTGAACTAACTCAGTTCAGCTGTTCTGAAACCGAAAACTCAGAGTTTCCCATCTCAGGGTAAATCAACTCAGAGTTCAAGTTTTAACTCAGAGTTTGTTGAATCTCCTTTCTGGAATACACCCCTGGACTGGCGTTTGACAGATGTCATCGGTAATAATCAAACAGCAATAATGTTCAGAAAAAGAGAAAAATCCATCACTGCGCTTGTCTGGAAACTGCCAGATACTGAAAGCACTTTTTGTTTATAGCTCCCATATATATATATATATATATATATATATATATATATATATATATATATATATATATATAAAAAAAATTAACCATATAATTGTTTTGATTTATTATGAATTTATAATTTATGAAAAATGTACTCATTTAAATAATTCAATAAAAGTGCACAAATAAATGTAATATTCAATGTTGGCAAACTTATTAATTAATCATTTAAAAAAAAAATGCTGATCAAGAATCATGGTTCCAAAGAAGGGGGATCAGATTGAATCCTGAGGTGCCTAAAAATGTCCAATCCTTTGAGTGTACAGGAATTACAGAGGGCCACTTCCTGCAGAATTTAGCTCCAACCTGATCTGACCTGATCCTTAAGTTTCTAGCAACCCAGAAGACCATTATTAGCTGTCCCAAGTGTGTTTAATTAGTGTTGAAGCTAAGGGGTATGTTTTATTTGTTTCACACTCGATAGAGCATTAACCTTTCATTGACATACCATCTTCATGAATCTCTCTTTGTTGTGTAGGGAAGGGAGAAAGAAATGGAAGGAAAGCTATCAGCAGACAGTCATGTGTTTGAAGACAGAGAGCTGGAGAAACACATCACTCCTCAAACCCTGAAACCAAAGATCAAGCAGAACCCTCTCTTCTCTCATATCAACATCACTGACATAGAGGAGAACAAGTCCAAGCCATCCTGGACCATTCAGGACTATGACAGACACACTGCACATGGTCAGCTGGCTGACTACATGAAGGTATTGCATTAGCCCAAAGCGGGCAAAGACAAACACACACTGGATATTGCAATTTGAATAACATCACATTATGACAATGTTGTAACGATCGGTCTTATCGGTCGAATTACATGGGTTTAAAATGGGGTCAAATTAAACTGTGTAAGGTAAAATAAGTGTTTTAAAAAGATGTGACAATGAATAGTGTATTTACACAATTAACAATGAACTTAAAACAACACAATAAAACTAGAATAACTTAGGCTGTTAAAAGCATGGAGTCCATTTTAATCACAGTCCTTAAGAAATCCAGCGTGCTGTAAATTCCAATGTAAAAGCATCCCCCAGTGTATATACAATCCAAGGAAATTGATAATCCAATAAAAGTGAGATGCTGGATTGCTAAATCCTTAAAAACCACTGCAAGCAGAGATGCGCACAAATACATGACAACGTATATAAAAAAAAAAAAGCAAAATACCTCAGTTCAAACAGATCAAAATACAAAATTCTGTGGGGAAAACATGTATCAAAATACAAATAGAGTTTTGAAAATACATGTAAAATTGGCCATTCAGTGAAGTATTATTATTAGACTGAAATGTATCTAGACTTATTGTGAATGCAAAAAAACATTTTACAACTGCTTAGAAATGTTTGTTTTCATTGTGCTTCAGTCAATGATGAGCCACAAACACTGATGTTCTGCTGATTTATTTAAAGACCTGTGTTGTTGATACAATGATGACCATCTGATCTGGATACAGACTGGATCTGGTGGCTACGGTGACCTCGGAATAAGAGAGAAACAGACTAATATTAGCTTAGATGCCATTCTTCTAGCGATGTAACAAGTACATCGGGTGTTATGAGAAGTGTTCCCGGTTCCAGTTGACCTAATTAATGCAGCCTAAAAATCCTTTAATGGATTTGAATATTAGAAATGTGTTAGTGTGTTATGTGTAAGCCAGGTTAAAGAGACGTGTTAGGTAGATTGTTCCAGAGTATGGGAGCTAAATAGGAGAAGGATCTAAAATAGATCTTTAAAAGCTGTTCTGAAACCGAAAACTCAGAGTTTCCCATCTCAGGGTAAATCAACTCAGAGTTCAAGTTTTAACTCAGAGTTTGTTGAATCTCCTTTCTGGAATACACCCCTGGACTGGCGTTTGACAGATGTCATCGGTAATAATCAAACAGCAATAATGTTCAGAAAAAGAGAAAAATCCATCACTGCGCTTGTCTGGAAACTGCCAGATACTGAAAGCACTTTTTGTTTATAGCTCCCATATATATATATATATATATATATATATATATATATATATATATATATATATATATATATATGGACAACCAGCTAGCAGTGCATTACAATAGTCCAGTCTAGAGGTCATGAATGCATGAACTAGCTTTTCTGCATCAGAAACAGGTAACATGTTTCGTAGCTTGGCAATGTTTCTAAGATGGAAGAATGCCGTTTTTGTAACATGGGAAATATGGTTTTCAAAAGACAAGTTGCTATCTAATATAACACCCATATTTTTGACTGTAGAGGAAGTAACCGTACATCCGTCTAGTCGCAAATTGTAATCCAAGATATTCTATGTACTGTTTTTTGGTTCAAAAAGTAATATCTCTGTCTTATCTGAATTTAATAGGAGAAAATTATTGGTCATCCAATGTTTTACATTTTTAACACTCTGTTAGCTTAGATAATTTAGAAGTTTCATCTGGTCTTGTTGAGATATATAGTTGAGTATCATCAGCATAACAGTGGGAACTAATCCCGTATTTTCTAATAATATTACCAAGGGGCAACATGTATATTGAAAATAGCAGAGGACCTAGGACAGATCCTTGTGGCACTCCATATTTTACTGGTGATAATTGAGATGACTCCCCATTTAAATGAACAAGGTTGTAGCGATCGGACAGGTAGGATCTAAACCATCTTAAAGCCTGCCCTTGAATACCTGTATAGTTTTGTAATCGATCTATGAGTATGTCATGATCTATAGTGTCGAACGCAGCACTAAGATCAAGAAAAACTAGCAATGAGATGCAGCCTTGGTCTGACGCAAGAAGCAAGTCATTTGTCATTTTAACAAGTGCAGTTTCTGTGCTATGGTGGGGCTTGAAACCTGACTGAAATTCTTCATAGAGATCATTTATTTTGCAAGAAGGAGCACAATTGAGTAGACGCAACTTTTTCAAAAATTTTAGACATAAAAGGAAGATTTGAAATTGTTCTGTAATTTGCCAGTTCACTAGGATCTAGTTGAGGTTTCTTAACCCTTGTATTATGTTTGATTTCTGAGTACAATTTTGATGGAGCGGGTCAAATTGACCCTAATTTAATTCAATGCAATTCCCTAAATATCAGATTATGAAAAACAAGAAGGAATCAGGTATGAACAGAACAATGTTAATATCAGTATTTGTCAGACATTTCGAACAATTAATATCAAAAAAGTATGATTTTCAAAAATGTGTTTAACCACAATTTTTAAAACTTGTTTGTTTTAACAAATGTTGAAAATAAACTACTGTAACTTTTAAAATGTGTATTCAACATATTTTCTTTTTTCCACATTTATGTTCAAAACATCCTAAATAAACAATTTAATATTGCTGTGAAATGAAATTAAAACGTTTCTTTCCATAAACAGACTTTTCCCTAAACAGGCTCTTTTGTTCTTTAGACTCATGGAACAATATAAAAAAGTCACTCTTGACAGGATGTGCACAAAGCAAGCATGTGCTTTCTGCAGACGAACTTCTTGCATTTTACACATATGGTGCTGGTTTTGGTGTCATGTTTGGTGGGGCACACCTCGCATGTTTTCCTCTTTTTCCATCACATGTATTCACCTCTGGATTTCCTGTGGGTCTGGATTCATCTGCTCTGGCTGATTCTACCAAAGCTGCAGCTGCTGGAGCTCGAGGTGGGCAGGAGCGGTGTTGGATTTCGGTGTGATGAGTGCTTTTCCAAGCTCCTCCAAGAAAAGTCGACGTTTGCACAGTTTGCCCTCATTCCAGTTTGGGTTGATCTCACACCACAGGACAAATGCATTATATGCTGACACATCCAGGATGTTATAGAAGACCACCAAAGGCCAACGGGCAGTCTTGCGCTGGCAGCTGTACGCTGATGTGACTTTGTCCAAGTTATCAACTCCTCCTTTCGTGGAGTTATAGTCCAGTACCATTTCTGGCTTCAGGTCCCTTCTTGCACTCAGTGATGCATATCTGTGCATTGTACTCATCACAAGCACTTTTTTTTTTGGACAGTAGGAAGCAATTGTTGCAGTTTCAGAGAAAGCATTCTTTCCTTCATATCCAGAATCTCTCTGGAAAGCTCAGGCTTGTTTTTTTTATTGTTCCAATCATGGTCAGCTTTCACTTGAGTAGCTCTTCACCAAGTTTGTAGGATGTAAAGAAGTTGTCACAGGTTATGCAGTGACCTTGCAGCCCTTCACTCATTTGGAGAACAACCTGCATCCCCTGGTCTCTCTCAGGTGCTCCACCTGGTGGCTTGCCTGTGTAAATTTGCATGTTGCATGCATAGCTGGATTTGGCATCGCAGGCTGCCCAAATTTGAATGCCATATTTTGCAGGCTTTTTGGGCATGTACTGGCGAATGGAACTAGACGTTCATCCACTGTGATGTGTGGTCCAGGATTGTACAGAAGAGGCAGAATATCAATCCATTTATCCCATACTTCCCTAACTACAGCTAATTTGTCTCTCTCACGCCGCCCGGCTCTGGTTTCACGGTTATCAAAACGAATGAGCCGAGAAATTATGTGAAATCTTTCCAGAGACATTGTTGCCCGAAATATTGGCCTTCCACACTCTGTATTCCATGAACTTTCAGTTGCCTCTCCATTTGATCTGTACACACCAGCTAAAATTAGCAGTCCAATGTAAACATACAAATCAGTAAGATCAAGTGGTTTCCATTTCTCACCAAACACACGGCTTCCCTCCAGATTAGTCATGTCCAGGTCAATCTTCTCAATTGGTTGTACACTGAACAAAATTATAAACGCAACACTTTTGTTTTTGCCCCCATTTTTCATGAGCTGAACTCAAATATCTAAGACTTTTTCTATGTACACAAAAGGCCTATTTCTCTCAAATATTGTTCACAAATCTGTCTAAATCTGTGTTAGTGAACACTTCTCCTTTGCCGAGATAATCCATCCACCTCACAGGTGTGGCATATCAAGATGCTGATTAGACAGCATGATTATTGCACAGGTGTGCCTTCGGCTGGCCACAATAAAAGGCCACTCTAAAACGTGTAGTTTTATCACACAGCACAATACCACAGATGTCGTAAGTTTTGAGGGAGCATGCAATTGGCATGCTGACTGCAGGAATGTCCACCAGAGCTGTTACCCGTGAATTGAATGTTCATTTCTCTACCATAAGCCGTCTCCTAAGGCGTTTCAGAGAATTTGGCAGTACATTCAACCGGCCTCACATCCCAAAGGAATGCGTGTAGTGAAAATCAGTACATTTTCCATAGGAAGAGACACAAAGCACAGTAAAAATGGACTCCTATCTAATTAATTTATCTAATTAATACTAATTAATCTTTATTAGTTTGTGCATCAACACCCCAAGCGAATTACATTTGCAAATTACCATGCCCTCACACAAAGGGTCGTAAAACCCTCCAGCAATTGCAACCTCCCGCTTGGGATTTCAGCCTTTCTCATTGGACAAGCCCATCCTGAGAGGCGTGACTCTTCTCAGACCTTAAAGGCCTCACATCAGTGACCCACCTTCAGTCTGCGGTTCTGTTAGATTCTGAGAAGATGTGAGCTAAAACGCTCCTAAGGACACCCTAAGTTCGCGCCAGGCCTCGGGCCTTGACTTTCCATTCACCAAGATCATCTGACTCAAACTGGTTCTATTCCATCAACCAACTTCAGCAAAGATCAACTTGAGCCTTCAGATTGCATCAGGAATCTCTGTCAGACAGACAACACGTGCAAGTATCAAACTTAGTC